TTGTTACAACACATGTTTCCCCTCATTAATTATACATTAAGTGCCTAGAAAGGTAATGTTTAGTGGTAATCTCTAAGTCCCAATGCCTCTCTCTCTTGTTCCCTCTATCATTTATTTGTTGTTGTTTGTTTTACATTGAACTTGCTTAGTTTTAGCTAGTAGTTTAATAAACCAAACAAACCACCTTTTGATCACTCAACCTACTAACCCTATATATTGTTTCCATATCAATACTGCCCCCTAATCCCTTGGGAGGATCCCTACTTACTCTTGCTACGTTAGTAGTAGTGGTGGTAGTGGTTTTTATAAATTTAAATTTGACATAAAAGGCTTTTCTTGAACCGCACATTCACTACATTATTTTAATGTACACAAGCGGCCAAGGCATCGTCACTTATATATCCACTTTTTTGAGTAGATATTCAATAATTCCACGTAGTTGCTTGACAAATCGGTCAGCAAGCTGTAAAACAACCGACGTAGGTTTCAGATCTCCCAAGCCTAATTGTTCATAAACCGAGTAAGGAATAAGATTAACACTAGATCCTAGATCAAGAAGTGCTCTCTTTATCTCATTATTTCCAATGATGCAAGAAATTGTGGGACCACCAGGATCTTTGAACTTGGGAGGAGTGCTATGTTGAATTATGGCACTAATTTGCTAGGTGAGATAAATTTGTTTAGGAACTTGGCTTTTTGATTTCTTTTCTTGAGTGTATAAGTCCTTCAAAAATTTCGAGTAGGCTGGGATTTTTTTGATGATATTAAGGAGAGGTAGATTGATTTTGACCTGCTTAAAGATCTCTATCATATCTTGAATTTTCTCTCTTTGTTTGCCAAAGTAGGAGGGTTCCTTGAGATGTTGAGGAATTGGAGCTTTTGGTTCATAAGATGTCTCAAGGTTAGGAGTAGATAAAGAAGTGACTTTACCTTGAGCTCATTTGGTGCTCCATGAAGTAGAATTTGAAAGATTCTCATGAAGATTTGGAAATAGAAGAATTGGATTACTTGGAATCTTATACCTCTCACTCTACTCCTATTTTCCCTTAAATTCGTTTTCATTGACTTTTCCACTCCTCAATGTGGTGATGGCCTGAACCTACTCATGATAACTACTTAAAGGATTTATATCGTCAACCTTGTAAGTTTGCCCTTTTGGGTTGGCTACAAGCTGACTTGGCAGCTTCCCATCTTCTTTATGAGATAAGGTATTAATTATTTTCCCAACTTGAGCTTCCAACTTAGCTATGGCCTAAGAATGAGAATGGAGTAATTAAGTATTCTCTTTAAAATCAGTGAGAGCAATTAACACTTGATCTTCAAAAGCAGAATTTCTTGAAGGAAGAGGAGAAGCTTGATTAGCTTGATTCAAAATTGAGGAGGATGATGGACAGATGATTGATTAAAAGAATTATTTGGAGGTTGAGAATTGGATTGATTTTGAAACTGTCCCTGAGATTGTGGGACAGGATTACATTGGCTTTGATTCCGCCATGATAGATTAGGATGATCTCTCAATCCAGAATGTGGCTTTGGCTTGATCTTGAGGGAGTTCGGAAGATTACCCCATGAGAGGACAATTTTCAGCAAGATGTGAAGGGTTAGAGTAGATATAGCACACCTTATGTGGTATGGAGGAGTGCGGAGAAGGAATAAGAACATAACCTGCTGCTAGGACTTGGTCAGATCTTTATGTTAATGCTTCTATTTGAGTAGCTAATTCCTTAGTTTGCTCAACTTCAAACAGACTTTTTACCTTAAGGATACCAGGAGTGGACCTAAACCTATCATAAATATCATGGTGTGGACACTTTCTATGAGGTTCATCTAACCCATCATAAAAGATTTGCACCAAGTGCCATTTTACAATATCATGGTGTGGACACTTTCTCAAAAGATCATTGTATCTTTCCCAAGCAACATGGAGTTATTCCCCCATGATTTGTTAGAATGCTATGATTTCTCTTCTCATTTAGGTGGTTTTACCCACACTGTAGTATCTTTTTAGAAATTACTGTTGCATTTTGTCCCAAGTTCCAATTGAACTATTTAGAAGGGAATGCAACCAAGGTCTTGTTTTATCTTTGAGAGAGAATTGGAAAAGACGCATCCTAAAAACATCATTAGACAATGTTAACAATTTGGTAGTCGAACATAATTTTAAGAAATCATTTAAGTGCTTATAGGGATCCTCGCTAGCATATCCATGGAATGAAGGGAGGATTTGGATCATAGCTGGTTTGATATCAAAATGGGTTGCATTAGCATCTGGGAATTGAAAGTATGAAGGAGATGTATAGGATGTTGGAATATTGTGATCCCTCAAAGGTGTAGGAGCGGGTGCAGGTGGAGCGACCACTCCTAGTGGGTTATTACCATTAATATTGGCCATGTTTGGATTAGAAGATTCTCATAACAATTTAGAATTCTTTTTAGGTTTTCTAATTTGCTTAAGAATCTTTTCAATTTCTGGGTTATATTCAATTAATAGTAATGACAAGGAAAGATGACGTAACATGCGCTAAATTTAATTACAAGAAAGAAAAAGAAATAATAAAAAAATTCCAAGTAAAGAAATAAAATAACAAGAACTCACAAAAGGTTCCGATACCATAACTTCTTTTCTTTAAGCTGCTTCGCTTTTACAACTAAATTCCTCCACTTAAAAAGAAAAAGAAATAAGATGAGAAGTCAGAGATTCCAAAACAACAAATTAAACTTGGACTAATTTATAAATTAACAATAACTGTTACACAATCCCCGGCAACGACACCAAAAATTGATGTATGTTTTCTCAATAGTAAAACCACTCGCAATAATACGAATTTTTGTAGGATAGGGCTATGAAGAGGGTGTCGAACCTCGAGCACTGTGTTGGATTGTCAAGTGTAAAATTAATTGCTAATTTAATTTAGAGAGAAATTTTGTTTGTTTTGATTATGTATCAATAACATGAAATGTAAAATAACGAATTTATCAAAGATTGAGATCAAGAGAAGAAATATTTAGGGCTTGACTTCACCACAAGCCTCATAATATGGTTAATTGATTCAACCTTAGGGATTTCAATATTTATACATGATCAGGAATTAAATGAATTAACATCCTATTTTATTCAATTTCAAGATGATAAATCATGAATTTACATTAAGCAATAACCTATTTTCGGTTGGCACGAATTATCTACCTAACTAATTTAAACTAAATTGCAGAATAATTCGTCTTCTCTAAGTATAAATTATCAAAACATTCATTCACAATACAATTTTTGCACTATTGCATGATCACTATTCAAATTGCTATGAGAAACCTTTAGCCGCCAATCTCAAACAATAACAATAGTTCGAATTTGATTAAATTAAAATAAATTTTAAGACAATACATTAATTTCATGAAAAACCAAGTTTATTCATTAAAACTCCAATTGCTTGGAACTGAAGTGCCATAGATGAATTTTAGTGTTGACGATGATGAAGATAATGAGTAGTGTTGAAGAAAATGTAGTTTCTGGGTTGGTGATTGATACAACAAACAAAGATTTGAATATGAAATTAAACATAGACAATGGTAAAAGGGACTCACTTGTTCTAGTTTTGTTGTTCTTCTGAGAAAATCTTGTTGCAAAATTAGACCTTCATCCGAGAAATCCTCCTTTCTGATAAAACTCTAGTCTTTAAAACACTCTCGTATTCCTTTAACCGATAAGGAAGTCAATCAATCGATACCCTATTTTTGCTATTTTTTCTCTGTTCGAAACCTTACTTGAATTTAGGGTTCTTTGGGCGTGAGCTCACTCTTTGGCGTTTGTTTTGTTTAGGTTTGGCTTTTTGTTGTGTTCAGGAACCATTTTACTCATCAGTTTTTATTTCTTACTATTTTTTTATTTTATTTTTTCGGTAATAAGTTACTCCGTATAAATTAACGGCTCATGAATGAAAAAACTCATTTTCTATCATTTTAAAGGAACCCACACATATTATAAATGGACTTTGATTCTCTAAGTTAAAACTCCCCTAAGTTATCTTAAGTTGATTTTTTTTTACGGAATGACATGTGTCATTTAAGATATATCTATGACTTATGTTAAATCACTTCAGTTAACTTAATAAAAGTTAGGAAACTGCACCGTTTTAAGATAGAAAAACTTTAAAATACCTTAACGACATTAACTTTCTTTCTCCTCTTCTCTGCAATAAGATCCCTTGGTAACCTTGTTTATTTTTTGATAGGCTTTATATATGATATGCTTTAAGAGTTATTGATTGCAGAATCAATATTACATACCTTTTTATTCAACCATTTATACTTTAGTTTAAATCTGAATTTGAATCTGTATAAAAAATAAAAATAAAAATAAAAAAAAAAAACCGAGAAGATTTAGTATTTCTAAATAATGAAGAACGTTTTTTTTTTTTTTTTTTTTTTTTTTTTTTTTTTTTTGTTGATATCAAGGAAAACTATGCTCAAAACTTGCATTTAACAAAATTCATCTAATGTATACTATTAAATTGAAAACCTACTATTCAAGTTCCTTTAATCAAATCACCTTCTTCGTCGAAGCCTGGGACGGACCTACGGTGACATTGGGGGGGGGGGGGGGGGGGGGGGTGGTTTTTATTACTAATATACCCTACTAATTTGCTCTTTTTCAGCTATGTATCCCTAAAATATTACTATTGACCCTGAGTCCGTCCCTGATCGAAGCCAATACTATTATTTTAGAAAAGAGAGAGAAGGAGCAATATTTTTTGGGAAAAAGATGAGATCTTATATGAGGAGATGTTTTATGTCTTCGAAAAGCTTTTTATATAAAAATGGAGTAGATTTTTAAATTTTATTAAATTAGTTTAATATAAGTCATAGATATATCTTAATGCCTTAATGAGACATGCCATTATGTAAAAAATTAATTTAGAAAAATTTTAATTAAGAGGATCCAAGTTTATTATAAATAGAAATAGACAGGGCAAAACAAGGCCTTTCATCAGTGCCACCGTAGGGACCGTTGGGTAATTAAGTCAGACGATTTGCGCCCCCAAATTGCACTAAGTTGTGATTCTCTTTTGAGGTTGAAGAAAGCGAAAATGACCAAAAGAAAAAGGGACTGTTTACATTCCACCTCGTCGGCAAGGCAAAGTTGGGTTCCTTCTTTTTGCGATGCCTTCCTTGACCTGAATTCCTGAAGCGGTGAAGCCAACAACTGAATTCAAAACCCTAGCTGGACAAACCATAATAGAAATTCAGGAGAAGCCATTTAGCAAAAAATTGAATATATATATATATATATATATCTTCACATGGCGAACACTTGGAGAAGAAAGTTGGGGAATATGAGGTCTTTCATTGGCAATTCCATGGGGGGTCTGAGGGGAGGAAGCAATCTGGCCTCATGGGTCTCTTTGCTGGATCCCTTGCTAACTATCTCTGGGTCAGGCCCTCCCAAGACCTCAAGCGCCAACAACAGGTAATCTGATAGTTCACCCATTAATTAATTTATTTTCTTCATCTCTACTAATAGAATTCAATGAATTCCAAAATTCTCAAAATTTTCTTGCATTTCAGGAAAGGGTAGCTCTGGCCGCAACTTCAGATCCTGATTTTTGATCCTCAGGTAGGCATTATAATTGACCCACCTAACCTTTTTGTATGATAGAATTCAATAGATTGTGGCTTGTGTTTACATTGTTTCATAATTCACTAATTTTAATAAAATTTTGACATTGATTTGCCAGCAATCTGGTTGGATACACGGAAACAAGAACGGGAGTGATAAATCCCAGGAATTATCTAACTGAAGTTGCAAAATTTTGTGAGTTGGTTCTGTTGTGTCTCAATAAGTGATCATAAGTTGTGTTTTATGTTCAAGTCTTACCAATATATATATGAGAGGTTACTTGAATGTTGAGCCATTTTCATTTAGACAATTCACGTGAACATCAGAGTCCAACATTTTTTGAGTTTCTTTCTATTGAGGATTGTACAAGACATTTTTGATGTAGTAAATTCAATAACAAATAATGGTTCAACACGGTTGATGTACAAAAGGACCTGTCCACATTGTGTGACGTCTCCAAGCTATTCTTTACATTGATGGGTGCTGCAGCCCTCCATCACTTGCTGCCTTGGTGAAACAAACCAGTCATAGTTAATCAACTTGGATTATTGTATTCTTCATATTGTTTCATTTAGAGCAACCCCGCGCGAGTATAAAGTGAACAATATCAATACTTGTGTTGAATGAAATGCTTTCCAATGCACATTACACACAAGTGGGATCCATGCAATATTACACACTCCCGCTTGAGAATCAAGTAGTGCCTAGCAGTGATAGTAGTAGCAGGCGCGGTGGGCCATTGTGTGGGTCTTTGTGTGTGATAATAATATAAAATGAAAAAGTGATATTGTATGATAATATATAAAATAAATATTATATGTGTATTGGATTAATTAATTAATATAAAGATAGTCAAATTTTAATTAATTAAAAAATCATTTTTTCTGTCATTTAATTTGCGTAACAATTTAATTAATTATTATTATTTTTTTAAAAAGTTTGTACTCTTTGGGAAAGACAAATGATGGAAAAAAATCTAAATGATGCTGCAACACCGACGGTGAAAGCATGGATCGAGGATCGACAAAATAAAATTATGGCGCGTTATGCAAAAAGGGGCAATTAACTGTAATGTTTACTATTTTTTTTTTTTTTTTCATGTATGGAAGTATTAATGTATTTTTTTTCCTAAGTTTTGTTTTATTTTATTTGTAGGAAGCTATGTAATGCATTTTTTTTTTTTTTTTTGACATATGTAATATTATTGCTTTTTAATATATATATATATATTTTTAAAATCTTGTATCTAAATAGGAGCAAATAATTATAGCCGTTAGTATTATAGTTGTTGAGAATAAAATTGTTAGAAAAAAAATAATAAAATAATTTATTTTATTAAAATAATAATATAACAAAGTACACAATGAAAAAATGAGAACGTGACTATACACTTTACATGGCTATATACTTTATATAAAGTGTGGAATGGAATACAACCGAGTGACTATACACTTTACATGGCTATATACTTTATATAAAGTGTGGAATGGAATACAACGGAGCGCTGGGGTTGCTCTTATATACCTCTAATCATACTTATTTAGTTGTATACAATCGATGGAGTTAGTTGAAATTTTGTTGATAGCTATAATGCCCGAAACCCTAGGATGTGATGTAGAGTCGTGCTAGATCCGTAGTCTAGACCTAGAGGGGAGTGAATAAGTCTTCATGGTTAGTCTAACTGTTTTAAGTTCCTTTTGAATTTAAACTACATTCCTCGAACTTTTCAAATTATAATTAGATATGAAATTGAATTAGTACATTATGCTAATCCATAATCAATTAACCATTCAATAATATATTAATTCAATAAAAGCATAAATAATGGACAGAAACATGGAAAATGCTACCGGGAAAAATCGTGAGATCTAATCCAGGCAAACTGAATCACTATGAGAAAGAGATTTACAAACTAGGTTAAAGTTCCCAAACCCTAGAACTCCTAGTTAACTCTTGACACACATCGATCCACCAAACTCACCACTACAGTCTTTAGACACATAATTCGCTCATCGACAAATCCCTGATTTGCTTCTCTAACTAGTGGTTCGATTGACAATGACCCAGTCGTTCAACAAAATCTCTGAGTGACTGATACTCAATTCAATACTGTAGCGATGAAGTAATCAACACTCTTAAAACACACTCACCAATTCTAATGCAATTGTTAAATTTTAAAAATAAATAAAAAAAAATAAATAAAAATATATGTATGTAGTCTAAAACTCAAAAATCTCTTTGTCTAATATTTGCCCTATACCTATATTTATAGCCAAAATAGTAGCATAGGGAAAACTCGTACAAGTTAATGGATCGGGGATCAAGTTGATTGATCGACTTAGATCCTACAACCTTCGATTGATAGATGGATCAAACTCTATTGTAATTCTATACTTGGAAAATTTTCAAAAACATTTCGTATGCATATCACATAGGATTTTCAAAATTAAAACATGAAATCTTAGAAACTTAATGTACAAATGCATGAACCCAAATTTCTGGTGAGTGCATTCGAGGTCCAGATTACCTTTATACCCTTAGTGTAGAAGATTATGCTATTACCCATGATGTAGCTGGCATCCCATATTCGGCCATGAACTAGAGGTAACTACCATGACTCTATCTTTTGAACTTTCTAACTAATCAAGAAATAAAACAAAATTACAGACTGTAGCTTCATTTCATGAAATTTGCCAACATAAGTCATATTGACCTAATAGTACAAAATTCCTAATTTCAATACAAGGAATTTTTCTTCTTATTATACTATATTTTGTTTTACGAAATATGCCCCACCACCACAAGAAAAAGAACCAAGGAAAATACGAAGTTTATGATTTCTAGTACAAAAGAGAACTCTTTTAGCTCTGTTGCATTTTTTATATTTCAGATCCTTGAAATGTATATCTATTTATTTTTGTGGCCTTTTTGTAGTGATTTAATTAGCTTCATATGCTAATATACATATAGATGATCGTAGTTACTTCATACTCTGTTATATGTGGATTGTGGAATTAAACCATCTGATCAAATACACTTGGGTTGTGTTTGTTTGGCCAGATAAAATTGATTGGATTGGATAAGGGTTACCCTATTCAACTTTTAAACACGGAAGTAAGACCAATTATATATTTTCCATTGGATAATTCAGTAGTGTTGTGGTATTATTTTACACTACTTTTCGGATATTGCAACCTAAGAACAACAAGAGTCCATTGAAGCAATGGCCACAAATCGAGAAGCAAGTAATGAAGGCAATTAGCCTCTAAAATTTTGAACTGAAATTCCCCCCTTTTTAAAGACAAGAAATTTGTAAAACGAAAAGAGTTGGGAGAGATGAAGAGAGAGATGAGTTCTGTATCATCACTCTCTACATCTTTACAGCAGAACAAGAATGAAAAAGGCGGAGATGCGTACACGAGAGACGATTTGTCAAATTCTGGTTCCTTAATTAGAGAAATAGGATATGATGATGGTCCGTTATTATGAAAAGTGGTCTTCCGGGAAAATTTTTTACTAATACTTTTTCTTCATTACCAATATATTCAAAAACAGATTTCAACCTAAATAAAAGAAAATTTTCTAGTAGTTACACTTCATTTAAAAATATTTCTTTACATTTAGAAAAGCAAAAGAGATACTGAGAATGGTGCATGTGGAAAGTGGAACCCTGTATAAATTCTCAGGTGTAAAACACACTTGGAGGGGGTGGGTGAATATGTCTCTTTTGCTCTTTCTGATTAATTTTGAATTTCTAACCAGTTTCGTAACCTTTTAATCAATCCATCCCATTTGCATGGAAAAGCAGAAAGGCAAGTTCTTAGTGGAAAACCTAACCAGAGAATACCATATAAAACCTCATTCTTAAGCAAATCAATCTACTACAGAAAGAAGTGCACGACCTGTCAATGGATCGGATTCTGATCCAAATCCGATACAATTAGTTGGATATGGATTGAACAAAAAATCCGATAACCCGTTTATAATCCGAATTCGATAACTAATTAGCTTAACAAATCGGATTTGGATTTTACCGATCCGATCCGATAATAATCAGATCCGAATTTAAATTATATATATATATAAGAGTCCAGCCCAAAACCCATCTCCAAGCCCACTTATTAGCAAACCCACTTCTATTCTCAAGCCCAAGCCCAAGCCCAAGCCCAAGCCCATTCCTCCTTTAATCTATCTAAACCCTAACCATATCACACAACAACATTCTGTTCTCACTCACACTACCCTTGCCACTAAACAACCTCCCCAAACACTCCCACGTAGTAGAGCTGCAACACAAATCAGAGAAACGAACCCATCGATCGGCAACCGCTGCAAAATATTACTACTCTCAGGTAAGTGTTCTTCCTTTCTCTCTTGTCTGATCTCACTTCTCTCCTCTTCATATTATATTTTTTTTGAAAGTTAAAAAAGGAGAGGTATTTTGAAATCCCTCAAAGTAACCTGGGGGGTGTAAATTTTCCCTTCTATGTGTACTAGTTTCGAGCCTTGCCCGTGGTTTGAGAGTTAAGCCCCAAACCAAAAGGCTACAAGCAATAGATCAATGCATACTGGTGTGAGATTTAGCATTGAAATTGATATCCAAAAGGAGCTCTTTCAAGTTAACTCCATTTGAATCATTATATATATATATATAAATATTATATGTTGAATTACACCAATTCGTATATATGATGTTGAAATTTCGTACTATATTACCTGTATTGTTTATGAATCGAACTTGATAGACATTATTCAGTTTTTTGGTTTCGATGTTTACAAGATGCCCTAATCTGTTGTTTGTTTCTTGATTTGTGCAAATTACATTATCGGATCGGACATCCGATAATCAAACAAATCGGATACGGATTGACTCAATAAAAATCCGTCGGATTATCGGACTGGATCAGATCACTCATTATGCTTATCGGATTCGGATTGGATTGACCATGATCCGGTCCGAATCTGATATGTTGAGAGGTTTAACTCTAATATTGACTTGTACTTAAGTAGATATATACCTCAGTCTCACTTGTAGTTATTACTCAGTACCTTTAGACCCAGTTTGTGCACCTCAGACTTACTCTTGATCTCCTGAGTTTAGTAGTTGCTTTCTACCAATGCAATCATGTTCCCTGATCCGCCTTCTTCCACCTCAAATGAATGCTAAACCTTCACATGATAAGGCTATATCCATGTCAAACCATTAGAGACAACTTGATATGTGTTCGACATGTTAAAAAATATGTTAATTTTTTTCTTTTTCTTTTTCTAAATAAATGCACATGTTATGAATAAGCTGTGTACAAATGTCGGATTATGAGTATTTTTCGAAGAGTTTCAAAAAAGTTGAGTCCAACAATAAAGAACGAGGAACTCTGAATTTTAATAATATAAAGGTCAAAACATTGCCAATCAAATAACAACTTTGTTTAAAATTTCATCAATCAAATTAATGTACCTAATATTTTTATGCTTATTACTTGTTCAAAACTGCAAACGATCAAAAAGAGGAAATAAAAGAGTCTCGCTCTGTCTTGTAACCAAACTAAACCAAACTTCAAACTTGCTACAATCGATTATAAAATCTTTTTTAGCCCTCTAGCCTTTGATAAGTGC